CCCTCATAAGTGTCCTCTTGGAGCCCTCTTCAAGCGCTTGGGGGGCCTCTCGGGCCGTCTTGAAGCCATCTCGGGCGTCTTGGCGCACTCTTGGACCGTCTCGGACGCCTCCTGGACCGTCTGGGGAGCGCCTTCGGGCCCTCCGAAAGCCCCCCGAAGGACCCCGAGGGAAACAGTGGGCACCGCGGGGGGAGGGGGGAGTTTGGGAAAAGTGGGCAGCCTCGGCCCCAGGGGCCTGGTCGCGGGGTCTGCATGGTGATGGGCAACTATGATGAGCGCTTGCGCACTGCAGTCAGAGCCACCTTGAGCCAAAATGGCTACGGATGCTCGTGGGGCGTCTTTTGGGGCTCCTGTGGGGCCTCGTGGAGCCTCTAGGGGGCCTCTAGGGGGCCTCCTGGTCTCTCTTGGGGGCCTCTTGGGGGCCTCCTGGAGGCCTACTGGGGCGGAAGGCTCGAATTGTCGGTTCGTGTTCCCCCTCTTGGGCCCCTCTTAGGGCCCTCTTGGGGCGATCTTGGGCGCCTCTGGGGCCGCCTTGGGGCACTCGTTGGGCCGTCTTGGGGCTCTCTATTGCGCCGTCGTGGCGCCCTCTTTGGGTGCCTCTTGGGCCGTCTTGAGCTGGTTTCTGGGGCCTCATGGGCTGTCTTGGACCGTGGGAGGCACGAAACAACGAGAACACGAACAACCGTCAAAAACCATTGAGGAAGCCTACTTGGTTCGCCTCCCGAGTGCCTCGTGGGAACCCTTGAGGGCATCGTGGCCATCTTGAAGCCCTCTTAGGCTGTCTTCAAAGCCATGTTGGACCAATTTTGGAACGCTCTTGTGCGGTCTTGGGCTCTCTTGGAGCGCTCTTGGGCCATCAATGCGCCCTCGTGGACGTCTCTCGCCCCCTTTGACGTTGTTTGCCGCCCCCCGCCGGGCCCGAAACGGCCAGAAGACAAATCAGTGCACTTCGGGGGGCCGGGACCCCCTCCACTATACATATATATAGAGAGAGAGATACATACATACATACATACATACATACATACATACATACATCCATCCATCCATCCATCCATCCATCCATCCATCCATCCATCCATGCATGCATGCATGCATGCATACATACATACATACATACACATACATACATACATACATACATACATACACACATACATACATACATACATACATACATTACATTACATTACATTACATTACATTACATTACATTACATTACATTACATTACATTACATTACATTACATTACATTACATTACATTCCATTACATTACATTACATTGCATTACATACATACATACAAACATACATACGTACATACATACATACACACAGACATACACACATACATACATACATACATACATACATACATGCATGCATGCATACATACCTACACATATACATACATACATACATACATACATACATACATACATACATACATACATACATACATACATACATACATACACACGTACACACGTACATACAGACAGACAGACAGACAGACAGACAGACAGACAGACAGACAGACAGACATACATACGACATGCGTACGTACGTACATACATACATACATGCAGGCAGGCATGCATACACACATACATACATACATACATACATACATACATACATACATACACACGTACATACATACATACACACACATACATACATACATACATGCATACGTACATATATACATACCTACATAAATCCATACATGCATGCATGCATGCATACATACTACATACATACATACATACATACATACATACATACATACATACATACATACATACATACATACATACATACATGCATACATACATACATACAGACGCACATAAACCTACACACCCATATATATATATATATATATATATATATACACATATATATATACATATACATACATACATATTGGAAGGCTTCTGGGCTGTGTATTGACATTGTTGGGCCTGTTTTGCCTCTTGGGACCCTCTTGGGAAGGTCTCTTGGAGACCGCTAGCCGCGTTTAGGAGGCCACTGAAGCCGTCTTGGGATCATCGTGGGCGTCTTGGATCGATCTTTCGGCGTCTCGGGGCCCTCTGGGACCACTTGGGGGCCTCCTCGGCCTTCTTGGGGCCGTCTCGGAGCCCCTGGGGACGCCGCCAGGGGAGGGACCCACGCATATACAAGGGAGGTTCCGGCCCGGGGCGCGGGGGCCGGGATCTCCCATATATGTATATACTGTGTGCACGACGCCTCGGCGGGAGCACAATCATTTCTAAAAACGTCTATTCCTGAAGAATAGATATTCGTAGATTCTGTGCACGGCGCCTCAGCGGGAAGCTCGAAATGGTAGTAGTGTCTATTCCTGTCTTGGGCCGTCTACCAGGGGGGTGCAGGGCCCGGGGTCTGGGGTCCGGGATCCGGGCTCCACGCTCCGGGCTCCAGGCTCTGGGGTACGGGGTCCGAGGTCCGGGGTCCGGGGTCCGGGGTCCGGGGTCTGGGGTCCGGGGTCCGGGGTCCGGGGTCCGGGGTCCGGGTCCGGGGTCCGGGGTCGGGGGTCCGGGGTCCGGGGGGTCCGGGGTCCGGGGTCCGGGGTCCGGGGTTCGGGGTCCGGGGTCCGGGGTCCGGTGTCCGGTGTCCGGAGTCCGGGGTCCGGGGACTAGGGTGAGGAGTCCGGGGTCCGGGGTCCGGGGTCCGGGGTCCGGGGTCGGGGTCCGGGGTCCGGGGTCCGGGGTCCGGGGTCCGGGGTCCGGGCGCGACCCGGGCGGCCGGCGGTCCATGTGTGCCCATTCTGGCACACCCCTCACACGTTTCGTGGCCCCATAGGGAGCTCCACCGAACGCTCCAGTGGCTGCGCTCGCATGCGGTTCCACCCCCCATTTCGGCACACCTAACACGGATTTGTGGGTGGGATCCATGGGAGCTCCACCGAACGCCCCAGTGGCTGCGCTGCAGTGGTTCCCCCCCACATTTCGGCACACCCCTCTCACGGTTCGTGGACCCTTTAGAAGAAGCTCCACGATAGCCCCAGTGGCTGCGCTCGAACATTGCGGTTATCCACCCCCTTTTTCGGCACGCCCTTCTACACGTTGTGTGGGGACCCATAGGGAGCTCCACCGAACGCCGCGTAACAGTGGATGCGGCCTAGGTTGCTCAGCGAATGGACAGGAAGAGAAGCCCCTCACACGTTTCGTGGCTCCATAGGGAGCTCCACCGAAGGTCCCAGTGGCTGCGCTGGCATGCGGTTCCACACCCCATTCTGGCACACCCCTCGCACGTTTCGTGGCCCCATATGGGGGCTCCACCAAAGGTCCCAGTGGCACTGCCCGCTTGCGTCCGCCACCACCCAGCACAGCCCTTGTTCCCTGCGCTTCACCCACCCAGAACAGCGCTTCGTAGCCATATAGGGAGCTCCACCAAAGGTCCCAGCGGCACCGCCCGCATGCGTCCGCCACCACCCTGCACAGCCCTTGCTCAAGGCTGCGTGTCACCCAACCAGTACAACTTTTCGTGGCCCAATTAGGGAGCCGCCACCGAAGGTACCACTGGCAACGCCCGCCGATGCGTCGCCACCAGCAGCCAGCCCCTTGCTGAATCCAGCCCGCGCCCCCCCTCTTCACCCACCCAGTACAGCGTTTCGTGGCCCCATAGGGAGCTCCACCGAAGGTCCCAGTGGCACCGCCCGCATGCGTCCGCCACCACCCAGCACAATTGCGGCATTCACACCTGCATATGGTTGGGTCCTTCGCCAGGCTATTTTTTTCCCCAGGGTGACCCAGAATGCTCCTCGATGGTCACTGCCGAGAAAAAACGCACACGTCCAGGTGATGCCAAGAAACGCTCTCTTGACCGCCCTGGGACTTGTTTGGGTGACCCAAAAAGGGTTCCAGCTGTAAGGTTAAGTCGGGCCTGTCCCCTGGGGTCCCCTGTCCCCCTGTCCCCTGCGGTTAAGGAGAAACGGAGCACGAGGAGGAGGAGGAGGACGCTGCCGACGACTATCAAAGTTTGCCGCTGAATTGACGGCGGCACTGAACCATAGAATTACACCAATAATATCTTATCAGCCTGCAGGATTCACGTGCGCCACCCGCGCGCAAAGCGAAAACCAGACCTGTACAGAGCCCATGCCTGCGGGACGTGCGCTAACTCGCTGCTACAGCCGTCGCTGCTTGACTCTGCATTACGCCTACTCGCGTGTGAGCTTACGCCCCGCGGACTCCCCGCCCACGAGGGGCAGATTGGCGAAGGGCTGCCTGCAGAGGTTCTTGAAATCCAGCCCGCAGAGGCGGCGCTCCATAAATAATATTTTCTCAGCCTGCAGGATTCACGTGCGCCACCCGCGCGCAAAGCGAAAACCAGACCTGTACAGAGCCCATGCCTGGTGCAGACCCCTGGCTAACTGCTCGCCTACAGCCGTCGCTGCTTGACTATGCATTGCGCCTACTCGCGTGTGAGCTTACGCCCCGCGGACTCCCCGCCCACGCGGGGCAGATTGGCGAAGGGCTGCCTGCAGAGGTTCTTGAAAACCAGCCCGCAGAGGCGGCGCTCCATAAATAATATTTTCTCAGCCTGCAGAATTCACGTGCGCCACCCGCGCGCAAAGCGAAAACCAGACCTGTACAGAGCCCATGCCTGCGGGACGTGCGCTAACTCGCTGCTACAGCCGTCGCTGCTTGACTCTGCATTGCGCCTACTCGCGTGTGAGCTTACGCCCCGCGGACTCCCCGCCCACGAGGGGCAGATTGGCGAAGGGCTGCCTGCAGAGGTTCTTGAAAACCAGCCCGCAGAGGCGGCGCTCCATAAATAATATGTTATCAGCCTGCAGGATTCACGTGCGCCACCCGCGCGCAAAGCGAAAACCAGACCTGTACTGCGCCCACGTCTGCGGGACGTGCGCCAACCCGCTGCTGCAGCCGTCGCTGCTTCGGGAATCTTCTGGGATCTTCGGGGATCTTCTGACCCGGGTCGATCCAGACCCGGGTCAGGAAACCGAAAACTGCTATGGAAAAATTAAAAATTGCCACCCGCCCGATCTGCGGGAGATGCTCTGGCCAAGACTCGACAGATCACCCTTGCGGTCCTCATCTCGTCGGCACGGATCGCCGCTGAGAGGATTGTGCCCAAGCAAGGTGCAGGGGGGCCGCTCAGCCTCACCGGCCATCTCACTGGTCCCGTGGAGCCAAGGCAGTCCTTGGAAAGCATCGAGGACTCCTCGGAGAGGGCGCAGAGTGGACTCGGTGTCGCTCGACTGGTTGCCAACTGCCCCGCCGCTGGCCAGCTCCACTCCCGGCAACAACTCGGGCGCCGCGAAGGCACCAGCCACGAGCCGGCGTGACGCGGGGCTGCCCATGCGAGGCTCGGGGATCCGCATGTCCGGCCTCCTTTGGGCGTCGCGTAATGGGAAGGCGATGATAGGGGGGAAGAAAGGTGTACCCTGCGGGCTCTGAAAGCCCCCCCTCCAGTCCGAAAGGGCCTCCTATAGGGCCCTGCAGAAACCTTCTTCAAAGGCCCCTTTTCTGCAGCCCTCGCTGCCCCCCATTTACCGCCACCCCATGGCGCGGCGGCCAACTCTTGGAGGCCTGGAAATTGGCACCAACATCAGCACAGGGGGTTGCCTCCACATGGGGAAGATGACCCTAGATTTCGGTGTTGGTGGTAATGCTTCGGTCACCTTTCAAGCCAAACATTACCACCATCACCGAGATCAGGATCGTCTTCCCTCGGTGGAGGCACACCGCCGATCTTGGTGTTGGTGTCAACCTCTAGGCCTGCGAAGCTCCTCATATAGGGAAGGTCTTCGAGAGTCGCAGGTGCCGAACTCGGAGGAGGCTGGAGGGCACGGGGCCTGCGGATCTGCTCGGGGCCGAGGCCGCCAGGGCCAGGGCCCGACACGGCCCCGCCGCGGCCCACTCCGAAGGGGCGCCCGCGGGTCAGCCCGGGAGTTCAGGGCTGCCTCGGTGCGGGCGCCACGCCGGATGCCTCCGCCCATGCCAACGCTGGCCTCGGTCGCTGCTCGCTGACAAGAGGGAGACCGTCGCCCGCAAAACTCGGCATCCCTGCGGTGCCTGGAGTGGCCATGCTGCAGTGTTGCGCAGGGTGCTTTGCCCCAACTGGTCGCCGCTGGGCTGCCTCCGAATCGCAAAACAAATCTTGGCCCAAATGCCAAATGCTGAGCCAAAAACGGCTTGAGCCAAGTTTGGATACGGAGTGCAATCTTTTAAGCGGTGTTGGGAGGACGCTGGGGCCCCTGGAGATCTCCGAAGTATCAGGCGATGGTGGAATAGTTGCACGTTCTGACCGGCGGACCGGTGGACCGGTGGACCGGCGGACCGGTGGATCGATGGATCGGTGGACAGGCGCACCAGCGCAGCAACGCACTGGCGCATCAGCGGACCGGCGCACCGGCGGACCGGTGGACGACCGGTGGACCGGTGGACCGGCGGCCCGGCGGACAAATGGACCAGCGGACCGGCGGATCGTTGGACCGGTGGACCGGTAGAGGGACCGGACGAACACAAAAAAAAAAAAAACAAAAAAAACGGGCGGGGGGCCCCGAGACCGCGCGGAACCCGGCGGAAAGGCGGAACCACAGGCGGCATCCGGTGGACGGTGCGGACGGAGCTGAGCCACCAGTTGGGACCTGGCGAAACGAACTGCGGACCGGTGGACCGTTTGCCTGAGTAGAGGACCAGGTAGGCATGGCGGACGCGCCAACCGCGACCGGCAGACCGGTCGCACCGGTCCACCATGCCCAGCGGGACCCGCGCGCGACCGGCAGACCGGCGACCGGCGGACATGCCGGAGTCCGGTGGACACCGGTGCGACCGAGTAGGAGACGCCGTGGACCGGCGGACCGGCGGACCGGCGGACCTGGCAGACGGGCGGACCGGCAGACCAGCGGACCGGTGGACCGGTGGACCGGTGGTCCAGCGGACTGGTGGACCGGCGGAGTGGTGGACCGGTGGACTGGCGGACCGGCCGAGCGGCCGACTGGCGGACTGGTCGACTGGTCGACCGGCTGACCGGCGAACCGGCGGACCGGCGGACCGGTGGACGACCGGCGGACCGGTGGACCGGTGGATTGGTGGACCGGTGGACCGGTGGACCAACGGCGGACCGGTGGACCGGCGGACTGGCGGACCGGCGGACCAGTGGACTGGTGTACCGGTGGACCGGTGGACCGGTGGACCAGTCTGGTGGATCGGTGGACCGGTGGAGTGGTGGGTGGACCGGCGGACTGGCGGACCGGCGGACCTGTGGACTGGCGGACCGGTGGACCGGTGGACCGGTGGACCGGTGGGCCCGTGGACCTGCAACGGACCGGGGACCGGCAGACTGGGCTGGCGGGCCCCTGGACCGGAAGACCGGCGGACATGCGGACCAGTGGACCGGCGGACCACGAGGAAAAGGAGGAGGAGGACGAAGAGGAGGACGACGAGGAAGAGGCGGAGGAGGACAAGGAAAGCGAGGAGGAGGAGGAGGAGAAGGAGGCGAAGGAGGAACACGAAGAGGAGGATAATGACGAGGAAGACGAAGAGGGAGAAGAGGAGGAACAGGATGAGGAGAGGAACGATAATATGTTTACGGGTTACGAGGAACAGGAACGGCCGCGTCACTCCTCCTTCTTTCCACCTGTCCCTTGTCATCCTGACCTACACGACGCTCCGCGTGATCCTCGTCCTGATGATCCTCGTCCTCCTCCTCGTCCTCCTCCTCCTCCTCCTCGTCCCCGTTTTCCTCGTCGTTGTCGTCCTCGCCCTCGTCGTCGTCGTCGTCGTTATCCTCCTCCTCATATCCTGACCTACCAACCACTTCCACCCTACTGCTTTCCCCGTTGGCCCCCTCCACTCGTCCTCATCACGAATCCTCTCATACCATCATCCTTTACCTCTCTTCCTCCTGCCTCCTGTACTCCTGCCTCCTCCTTTTTTTTTCCTCCTCTCCTCCCTCCTCCTCCTCCTCCTCCTCCTCCTCCTCCTCCTCCTCCTCCCCCTCCTCCTCCTTCTCTTCCTCCCAAACAGTTTTGGCATCTTTTTTCACCTCCCTTTCGTTATCCCCGTCCTCCTCCCCCCCGTCCTTTTTCTCCTCATCATCCTCCTGCTCGTCCTCCCCCCCCTCATGCGAATCATCCTCTTCCCGATCACCGCCCTAGTCCGCCATTTCCGCCTGGCCCGGGTGCTCCTCGTCGTGATGCCCATCCTGGAATGCCTTGCCCTGATCGTTCAGGTCCTCTTGGTCCTCCTCCTCCTCCTCCTGATCCTCCTGTTCCTCCTGATCAGCGTCCTGATCCTCCTCTCCCATTCAAAATGGCCATGAGCAGAAATTTGTGCGCTTTTCTCTGAGGCGGCGCCCGGAAGCCCCCGAGGACTCTCGCGAGGCATGTGCGGAGGGGGGGGGACAGAGGGGAAGGAAAATTTGGCGGGAAGGAAGGAAAGCGGGGAGGGAGGAAACAACATCTGGCAGTGCGATTGCAGCCACAGGCCATCCCAGTCTCTTCGTTAGGCCTCTATGCTGCACAGCCAATGTATGGCCACGCAGATCCAGATCTCGAGTGTGGGCCTAGAACGGCAAGAAAGCCAGCTTGAAGCTAAACTATATCAGGAGACAGCGAGATTGGCTGCACCCTGTAAGCACGAACCGCAGGTGAGAGCAAAGCCGTCCCATTCTCTAAATTTGGCCACTAGTTGCAGGGAGAAGCCAACGGATATTGCAGCATCTGCAGAATCCGATTGCAAAGGAATAGGCATACATCTATCATGTCCCACTGGCAGCAGAAGGCGAGGGGCAGCTCCACCTCTGTCCCCCGCGCAGCAGGGACATGCCAGGAGAGGGGGGGGATAAGAGGGTGCCCCGCCTAATAGGAGTGGGGAGTCTTCGGCCAGGTAACCGTCGACGCAGCAAAGTATTCGCCGCGCCTCCACGTCCATGCAAGCTAGATGCACGGCGACACCGCCGTGCCCACCGCCCGAGTTGCCCCGAAACGCCCGTTCCCATGCCCATGCCCCCGCCCCCGCCAGTCCCCACGGCGCCATCGCCGCCAGCTCAGCTCCCAGCGCCTGCGCGCCGCGGCGCGCGCGCGGGCCCGGCGCCGGGGTCGTCCGGGGCATCTGCCTCGCGGGTCCTCTTCACAGACATCCAATGCACGCGCGCCTCCGAAGCGGCGCGGATTGTCAGCCTCACTGCCCTCGTCAGATCGTTATGCATAGCCTCCTGGCATGGGACCTCCTTGGGGAAATCCGCCGCCCCCCCCGATCGGGGTCTGCAAGCTGGGAGTTCAACGGGGAGGTGTTTTCAACGTCGGTGGGCTTCATTCTGCGCGCGGGACCGTCTCTGGAGCCCACAGGGCACCTTCGCCCAGAAGTCCCAGAGAAGGGCCACGTTTCAGCCCCTGGATGCAACCCGCGCGGTCGCCGCCACGCCCCCGAGCGCCCTCCGCTGGGCCCCGCAACTGGCTCTTGCGACGCGGCGACAAGACTGGCCGCTGTTTAAAGGGAGCTGCTCGGAGCCAGGGGGCGACAAATTCTCCAAACTCGTTGTGCGCGAAGGCGCGGCATGGGAGCCGCGCCAGGGCAATGTCGGGGCTAGCCAGGCAGTGTCCCCCGCGGGGCCCCAGTGGGCCCCTGGGCTCCTGGAAGCCGACGGCGGCCAAAGTACACCGAAAACGCCCAAAAACGCCCTGCCTCGATCCTCGACGGCCGTGGGCAAAAAACATGTCAGCCAGGGGAAAAAAAGAGAGGGAGGAGAAAGAGGAAGAAAGGGAAGAGGAGGAGGACGAGGGGGAGGAGACGACGACGACGACGACGTCGTCGACGACGACGAACACCGACGACGACGACGACGACGACGGACACCGACGACCACGGACGACCACGACCAGGGGCGAACGACGCGACGGACACCGACAACGACGACGGATACCGATGACCACAGACGGACACCGATGATTACAGACGACCACGACCGCGGACGACGACAATGATGCCGGACGGCGACGACGACGACGACGACGACGACGACGACGGACAACGACGACGACGACAACGGGCGACGACGACAACGACGACGACGACGGACGACGACGACGGACGACGACGTCGGATGACGACGACGACGAAGACGACAACGACGAATTCGGAGAAGGGCGACGACGACGACGATGATGGACGACGACGACGGACGACGACGACGACGACGGGCGACGACGACGGGCGACGACGACGACGACGACGAACGGGCGACGACGGACGACGACGACGACGACAACGGACAACGACGGACGACGACGACGGTGGACGACGACGACGACGACGGACGACGACGATGGCGGACGACGACGGCGACGACGACGGACGACGACGATGACGGGCGACTACGACGACGGACGACGACGGACGGACGGACGGACGGACGACGGACGGCAGCGGACGACAACCGACGACAACGACGACGACGAGGAGGAGAAACAGGAGGTGGACGAGGGGGCGAGGAGGGGAAAGAGGAGGAGGAGGAGGAGGAGGAGGAGGAGGAGGAGGAGGAGGAGAGGAGAGGAGGAGGAGGAGGATGAGGAGGAGGAGGAGGGAGGAAGAGGAGGAGGAGCAGGGAGGAAGGGGGAAGGTCAGGGGTGCAGGGTTGGTTGGAGGAGGAGGAGGAGGAAGGAGGAGGACGTTTGAGCACTGATGAGGAAGGAGGAGGAGGTGGAGGAGGGAGGAGGAGGAGTGCAGAGTGAGGAGGAGGAGGATGAGAACGGAGGAAGAGGAGGGGGGGAGGAAGGAGGAGGAGGAGGA